TTCCCTTTATATTTATGACACTGATAGTGTGGGATTTCCTGGGGGAAAAGGCACAGTACCAGATACCTCTGAGCTCCGGCTCTGGCTGTTTGATGGAACAGCCTTTGGCTAACTCAGAATTGGGATGCCACAAATGATGACATAAAGCTGGTAAAAATGGCATAAATGTTACACTTGAATGCTCTATGGCTAGTTTATGGAATTTGAAATTTATTTCAGTACAGAACCATGTAAATCTGGGACCAGATTCTGGTCTCATGGGCACTAGAGTAAATCCAGGATACCTACACTGAAGTCAGTGGAAGGAGTTCCTGGACTGGCCTTTGAATTTCTTGATGGATACAGCAGCCATTTAAATTATTCTTCCCTAGCTCCAAACAGTCAATAACTTTCCATGCAGAGAACATACTTTCCCACTTCAATACATTAGTTCTGTGCTTTGCATTCACATTTGCTAAATATTACAAGTGAGTTTATTACATAGTATTTAACTGAGGCCACATTTCTGCAATAGAAAACTTCCTAATCACAGGTTTACACAACAACCAGGAATTGCATGAAGCAGTCACTGCTTACTTGGAGGAGAAACCAGCCTGTAGATGACAATATGACTAATAATGGTCTGAAACTACATTTTTGTTCCATGTTGAAGGATTAGTAGCGTTCTTACCGTAAATATAAACTCAGTTATACAATGAAGATTTCATAATGTTAACCCTTAGCATGTTGGCACCTTCAAGACCGCCTGCCAAAAAAATGATCAGAAGAAGATATAAATGGACACACTCCCCAGCCACAGTTTGCAATGGACTAAAGTTTCACAGTTGAACATTACAAAAAGAGAAAGGTTTTCAGTGTTGTTCTATAGTAAATTCGATAGGAGATTCTCTCTCCTAAACATCTAATGCATCTCTGTGTTTTATATTTTCTCTTTCCTTAAACACATTCCTGAGTTAATTAAAAGCTGTCCTGAATATGAAAGGAAGAAAGCTCCTAACAGGGAAAAAAAGAATATTAAAAAGATGACACAAAACAGTTTAAAAATCAATGTCTATCCCAACAAACTTTTTAAAGTGTCTGCATTTTTTCCATTGTGTGTTAACATTTTTTAGCAAGTTTAACATGATTAAGAGAAACGCAGAAAATCCTCTTTTCAAGTCACAAAGAAATGAATTCTGAAGTTAACTACACAAATTGTGTCACATGAACATAAGAATGCAAAGCAAAACGTATTAGGATTTGAACAACAGTCTTAATTATAAAGCTGATTTCAACACTGACAACTTTGTCAAAACACAGCTCTGGATTCTGCAATGGCTTAGAAATACCTTTTCAAGCAAATATAATCTTACAAAAAATACACAGACTGTTGTATAAAACAGACATGAAAAAGGCACAAGTATCTGCTATTCACACACTTGTTTCCCTATTCTGAAGCGACACCACGATACAAGTGGCATTTTGTTCTCTTCTTCTGGGCTAAGAGCACTCAGGAAAAATAACAACATAAATAAGGATTCTGGGTGAGATTTTACCAGAGCTTGCTCTCAAATGTCTACACACAATTAAGCAGTAATAGGCCCCAAAAGTGATTTACACCCATAGATTAACTGTCAAGTATCATGAATCAGTGATCTTTAATGGCAGAAATTAAAGTCTTCAACACGGCAGAAAGCTGAGGCTCTGACTTCATCACCCTGCCAAGCATTTTCCCTACGTCTCCCGAGAAGAGAGAATAATCATATATCTGGCAGCCAACACTGTAATGAGCTCATTTTTTTAGAACCCAGTTGGCTTTTAAGAACATAAGAACGGCCATACTGGGTCAGACCAATGGTCCATCCAGCCCTTCTGACAGTGGCTGGTGCCAGATATTAAAAAGAGAGTGAACAGAACAGGGCAATTTATCAAGTGATCCGTCCGATCATCCAGCCCCAGCTGCTGGCAATCTGAAGTTTATGAGCACCCAGCTGTGTCTTTGACCATCTTGGCTAATAGCTATTGATGGACCTATCCTCTAGGAAATTATTTAAATCTTGCTTGAACCCAGTTATACGTTTGGCCTTCACAACACCCCCTGGAATCAAGTTCCACTGGTTTACTATGTGTTGTATGAAGTAGTACTGCCTTATGCTTGTTTTAAACCTGCTGCCTATTAATTCCATTGAGTAACCCCTGTTTCGTGTTTTATGTGAAGGGGTAAATAACTTCTCCACACCATTCATGATTTTATAGACCTCCATCCTATTTCCCCCCTTAGTTGTCTCTTTTCTAAAATGAACAGTTCCAGTCTTTTTAATCTCTCTTCCTATGGAAGCTGTTCCATACCCCTAATCATTTTGCTGCCCTTCTATGTATATTTTCCAATTCGAACATATCTTTTTTGAGATGGGGTGACCAGAACTTCATGTAGTATTCAAGGTGTGGGTGTACCATGCATTTATATAGAGGCAATATATTATTTTCTGTCTTATTCTTTATCCCTTTCCTAATCGTTCCTCACATTTAGTTCATTTTTTTGACTGCTGCTGCATATTGAGTCCATGTTTTCAGAAAACTACCCACAGGGACTCCAAAATCTCTTTCTTGAGTGGTGACAGGTAATTTATACCCCATCATTTTTGTATGTACAGTTGGGATTATTCATAAAGTTTTTTTAATTTAGAAGAGTATTTCACAAGACGGCAAACCAGCAGTTCACAATTACAAAGTTTCTTCCTCCTCTTATAAATATAGCGCATTGCTTCCTGCAGTGCTGTGGGACAAAGTCTGCTCTTACTTACTGTGTGTGAGGTAGCACCAACCGCAGAGAATTTCTTTTTCGGAGTAGCAATGGGACCTGGGATCGTCACTAGATAATCAATAGATGCTGATTGTCTGATGCCTCTTCTTTCACAGTAAGCAATGAATCCAACAGGTACCCAGATTTATATGCAGGTTGAGGCTATTTCTTGGTTGCTGAATATTGTATAAATCAGGGGTGGCCAACCTGTGGCTCCGGAGCCACATGTGGCTCTTCAGAAGTTACTATGCAGCTCCTTGTATAGGCACCGACTCCGGGGCTGGAGCCACAGACACCAACTTTCCAATGTGCCGTAGGGCGCTCACTGCTCAACCCTTGGCTCTGCCCCCACTCCACCCCTTCCGGCCCGCTCCCGAGCCTGCAGTACCCTCGCTTCTCCCCTCCTCCCCCTAGAGCCTCCTGCACACCACGAAACAGCTGATTGGGAGGTGTGGGGAGGGAGGGGAGATCTTTATACATCTTGCTGGCAGCAGATGATACAGTATGACTGCTAGCCATTGTCATCTCCTGGGTGCTCAGCAGAAGACAGTGCAGTGGAGGAGCTGATGTGGGGCTGCTGACATATTACTGTGGCTCTTTGGCAATGTACATTGGTAAATTCTGGCTCCTTCTCAGGCTCAGGTTGGCCACCCCTGGTATAAGTGATCAGACAGTGGAAGGCACATAGCAGCAGATCCTGCCCCTATCTTTGTGGTTGTGCAACTGGCACTGGTGTGTTCCCACTGCATAAAAGGTTGGAGGCAGAAAGGAAGACAAGATAAAGGAAAGCAGACAACCCTTGCATGATATAAAACCCAGCTCCACAGGGGCTATCCATATCATCACCCCAAAGATGGTAGGCATACAGATGCTACTCCCACAGCTCCTCTAGTCTTCCTTGGCCTCAAGGGCAGATTCCTATCAGGCAGTCTCTCACCCCGAGACAAGATAATTGAGCTAGGCCCTGGCAACGGAATTTATCCTTTAAGCAAACTCTCCAAACAAGGTAAAATATGTACTGAGGGCCAGACCCTGTGATAACCTTACTCACTTTGGCAGTCCCATTGACATCAGCAAGGCTTCTTGTGGAGTAAGGAGCAGCAGACGCACATTCTGACTCTCAAACATGAGCTCAGCAGATAGCCACCTAAAACTGGCTAAATGGTTGTTTGGAGCAACACAGCTCAAATCCATTCTTGGAGAATTGAGATCAATGGTGGTTGTGTTGCCAACGAAAGCAGTGAAAAACCACATAATAGGCTAAACAATCTCTCATTTAGGCATGAGAACCTCAAAGTTTTAACCAGCTATGGCCATCTACAATACAAAAAGGGCTCCTGACTCCTGGAGTCAAGTGATTACAAGAGAATCTCAGCTTTCAGGAAGGAAAAAAAAAGGGAGTATGTTTCTAGACCTCATGATTGAGCATTTCTCCACACTACATCACTACCTGAGTCTACTGTAAAGACTCAACAGCCAACCCCCTCCCCCGCAAGTCTATTATTCTTTTTTAAAGAGTTATGATTTTAAACCAGTCTCATAATTTGAGGCCCGACTCATGATTTTTGAGCACAACTGTAACTCAGTGCTTTCCTGAAGGAACCATCTCTACAGATGAGCAGGTAGTTAACTTTCAGTTCTATGCATACCACATTCAGTAGCACTGCTGAGTGTACCAAGAGGTGCTAATCGTGATAGGTGAAGAACCTGATGTGGACCTGAATTCCAGGAACTGAATTAATACCATCACCTTTCTCCAGCTGGACCACCCTTTTCAACTATCAGATAACAGCAACAGATAGCGCTACTGAGTAATTTGTGGCAGATATGAACTGCTGCCCCAGAAATGACGAGCTTTGTGTCCTGGGGCCCAATCATCCCAGGCAACCAAGTCACATTACAGAGAACGCAACTCAGAAATGGGCAATGACAAAGCACTTAAAGCAACTGAACTCTGTTAATAAATGATATTGTTTGTGCAAATTCTAATTGCCATAACCAGCAGCAAAATGCATTTTCAATTGATGACATTTTCAATACAGCTTTATTGAGTATTTGCTGGATAGAACATCTCCTGGAACAATTTATTTTAAACATTAAAATGAAATACATCATACTGTTTGCAATCTCTTTATTTGTTCTGCTACCGCTTTCTGAAGAGAGTTTATGTTTCTGACAATATGAATTGCAACTAAAATGCCCTATACTACAATTAACATTATGGCAAAAGATAATCTTCAGAACCCTAAAAAATTATCCAACAAAATAAGCCATTAGATTATCTTGAAGAAAATAGCTTCTCAAGAGACAGTGAGAAGTGTTCCTGTGAATCAAAGGCATCTGAACAAAACTTCTCCAGGGCCAGATCTTCAGCTAGTGTAATGGAGCTGCACTCATTTACAACAGCTGTGGATCTGAAGCTCATATTTTCCTTTGTAGGAAAACTAAGTTACAGCAGCACATTATATAGCTAGTAATTATAAGAAGTGCCTACCTTCTGAATAGCTCTGGTCCATCTTGCTTTTGCCAAACTACTTATGTAAACTTGATCTTTATTGCTAGGAAAAAGAGGAAAAAAACAATTGATAATGAACATATATAAATATCAGAATATGATCAAAGAATATTAGCTATATAATGTAATTTAGGCAGGTCCAAAACCAGCTCTGATAAAGCATACATTGGAACAACAATCATGAGGCTTCTGTGATCAGAATGAACAAGAACTGGCATCTGTTTTGTATTTTTAGTTTTACTATAGGATACAATATATTCAATTGTCACAGACTGTTACTGTACTTTATGAAGTATTAGTTTTGTACAAAAAATTCTCTGGCAATCATGGTAACAGGTGTAATAGCTTGAGAATGAAAAAGCTGGTCCAGAAATGCAGGCAGAATCATCAAACTACCTTGGTGTGAAGAATGTAATTGTTTTAGCTGCGTCCTTATCAGCTGAGACACAACTGGTGTAACCTCCACAGTATCATAGCCAGGCAATGCATGATGAAACATGGAGAAAGAGCCTGGTCACAAGTGGTACAGAACACTAACCCCCAGTATACAAGACAATTCTTTTTTCCCCATGTAAAATGGCACCTTGTTTCAAGAGGGAGATCAATGGCAATTATGATCAATAATAAAAACAATTTTACCATGTCTCCTTTTTTCCCCAAGTTTCCCTCTGTGTCTCTGTATTTTTCTTAATCATGTCTCTCAAAGCCATGCTTCAGCATGCTGTTAAACTTTACCTGACTCCAGCCTTTCATCTCTATTCTGTTACTTTCTCTCATGAGATTTTCTACATTTTCTGTTTAGTTGCTTATTTTATTTTTCCTTTTCCTCCCCCAGCATCTTCTTTTATTATCAAATTTTTTAATTGATTTCTATGTTTCTGTAAAGGTAATTGAAACTGTTTACAGTACCAGGTGTTACTTTGCATTTCCTTCCCCACTTACTTACCTTCTCTGAACTCTGTTCCTTCTCTTTGTCCTCCCTCAAATCCTCAAGGAAACAACTCTCTCCCACTCTCACCTTCCACCAAACCTCTCTTCTCAAGCCCAAATTCTCCTTCTGCCTGGAAGAACTCCATTTTCCTCCCCCCACTCACCTCCACTCCCACCAAAGGTTCCCACCACACATTTACTTTTGCCCTACAATTTGTCCAGTCCCCTTTTCAATCTTTCCCTTCACCTTAAAGAATATGTCTCAAGCAGGCTAGAAAATTGCTGGTGTTCTGAAATTAGCTTGTTTAATAATCTTGGGGGGAGAGGGGAAAGAAGGCACAGTGGAAGTTCTCTTTTCCAGGGCCACAGAGTATTCCCTTACACACTGGTACTCCAATACACAAAAATGCAGGCAGAGATTCCTCTAGGTCAGAGGTGGGCAAACTATGGCCCGCGGGACCATCCAGCCTGGTCCCCGAGCTCCTGGCCCGGGAGGCTCACCCCCGGCCCTTCCCCCACTGTCCCCCTTCCCTGCAGCCTCAGCTCACTGCGCCGCCAGCACAATGCTCGAGGCGGCGGAGCAGCGGGCTCCTAGGGCAGCGCAGCTGCAGAGCCCGGCCTGACCCGGTGCAGCCACGCCGCCAGCCACCGGTGCTCCAGGCAGTGCGGTAAGGAGGAAGGCAGCGGGGGGCGGGGGGTTAGATAGAGGGCAGGGGTGGTGGTCAGGGGGCGGGGGTGTGGATAGGGGTCAGGGCAGTCTGTGGTCGGGGAACAGGGTGGTTGAATGGGGGCATGGGTCCTTGGGGGGCAGTCAGGAAGGAGAGGGGGGTTGGATGGGGCAGCGGAGGGCAGTCAGAGGACAGAGAGAGAAGGGGTGGTTGGATGTAGCAGGGGTCCCAGGAGGGCAGTCAGAAAGGAGAGGTGGGGGTTGGATGGGGCAGCGGGGGGGGTGGGGTCAGGGGACAGAAAGTGGGGGGGTGGATGGAGCAGGGGTCCCTGGGGGGGCCATCAGGAAACAGGGGGGTTGGATAGGGCAGGAGTCCCAGGGGGGCTGTCAGGAGGCGAGAAGCACGGGGCGTCAGATAGGGGGCAGGGGCCGGGCCATGGCTGGCTGTCTGGGGAGACACTGCCTCCCTTAACCAGCCCTCCATACAATTTCAGAAACCTGATGTGGCCCTCAGGCCAAAAGTTGCCCGCCCCTGCTCTAGGTCATAAGATAGCCCCAAATCCTGAAGGCTGAGAAGTCTGACAACTGGGAAAGACTAGCAAAAGAAGGGGGCTGCTTCACTGCCCTCCACCTGTGATAGACCAACAAGAACACATTAAAGTATGATTCTACCTTAACAAGTCTGATGAACGGAACATTGAGAGATAAGACTTGAGTTCTGTGACTGGTTCTGCCACTGACCTTCCATATGACCTTGAGCACAGAGTCAGCAGATCTGCTCCCACTGTATATGCAGAGTTATACTTAGTGACAAAAGCAAGTTCTGTCTTATGTATTGCAGAACTAACATAGCTAAAAGGGAACAAGCTGCACCCTATTCCTTCTTCTGAATCACCAGCAGCATTGTTAACTAATTACCAAAAAGTTACCCCTGTGCAATCTCCCTGAAGGCAACAGAGTGACCTAGGTGTCATGAGTGGCCTATTTTGTGTACTTGCTACTAAGGGTCCAATTTGGCATCCAGAACCTTTCATTACATCACAGTGAAAAACCACAGCTTGACCCAATCTCAGAAAAATCAGATTTCATTAGGAAAACCTACAGGAATCAGAGCTGTGCTATCAGGCCTGTTAGGTGATTATGTACACACACACACACAAAGTGCCTACACTTATAATCTTGGGTGAAGTTTTAATGCTTCCTAATGAGAGCTGACTGCCTAACCCCCTTAACTTTCAATGGCAGTAAGGCACCTAACTGCTGTAGACTATTAAAATTCCTAGCCTTTGTCAATTGCCTTTGCCAACGACAAAGCATCATCTGAGCTTCTGCAGCATTACTCAGTTTCTGAAATAAGTATAAGGAATACAGCCAATATAAAAAGTAACATTATATAGTTAACTTTACAGCTTTGCCTAAGATAAGAGCGATTGCTATTCTGTTTGTGTGCATAATCTTTTTATTTTAAGTATCAGTACAAGTTCCTCCTCAGACTTTGTTTAAAAATCAAAATCACTTCAAGGCTATAAGAGCACAAAAAAGCTTCTAAAACATCAAATTTGTAGTTTGTCCTTTATGGACAAGCCTTTTTGTTCCTATTGTTAAGGCCTTGGTCTCCAATCCTGCAAAGACTTACATATGTACCCCACTTTGTGACTGAGTTCAACATGCTTAAAGTTAAGTCCAGGCATAAGTATCTGCAAGATCAAGATACCAAATTTTCAGCTCAGAGCAGATTTCTACAGTCAAATTGCAAACCACTGAAAAACAGGGGAAGTATGAAAATGCTAACAAGAGTCTTATGGGTAGCCTACAGCCTAGTGTTAGTCCATTACAATCTAATGTCCAGCTACCAAAGTTAAACACTTCAACATTTTACAAAAAAACAAAAAAAAATAACACAATGTTATGACACAATTTATGTGCTAGAAGAAAAAGGGAGAAAAAAGTAATTTCAGAGAAAAGGGTCCTGTTATGTCTACCTGGAGAGACACAATAGTTATTCGAAGTATGATCTTCTTTGGCAATTTAATGGTAACATGAGGAGCAAAACACATACAACTTACTATAAGAAATAGTCAGATGGGAGCCCTGTTCTCAGAGATGCTATGTACTCAGCAGCTTCTGTTGAAGTGACTCGGAGCTGCCAGGTGTTCAGAATCTGGAAATTGAACCCCCGCTGCCTTGCATCTTGTGTAGTGCATCACACCTGTGCAAAGTGGGTGTAAAATGATACCAAATCCAAACTGTCACAGCAATGACAGGAAAAAAGGCAGGCAAAGTATTAATCCATGGGCAACTGCAGTTCTGAGATAGCTCTAATACATCCAAATAGAAGAATAAGTTGCAAAGTTATGCTCTTTAAAGGGAAAAAATTAAACTACTCTTATACCTGTAGGGTTCTAAATTAATGCTATCAACCCAAGAAAGTTACCTGGCTTGGCTATCACTGCAGTTCAATTAAAACCTCTGTTCAGTGCACAGCTGTGGTCAAAAATGGGTAGAGTGTCAGATGTTAGAATGGTTTCAGAGTAGCAGCCGTGTTAGTCTGTATTCGCTAAAAGAAAAGGGAGTAGTACTTGTGGCACCTTAGAGACTAACAAATGTATTTGAGCATAAGCTTTTGTGAGCTACAGCTCACTTCATCGGATGCATTCAGTGGAAAATACAGTGGGGAGATTTATATACATAGAGAACATGAAACAATGGGTGTTACCATACACACTGTGACGAGAGTGATCACTTAAGGTGAGCTATTACTAGCAGGAAAGCGGGGGTGGGGGAGGGACCTTTTGTAGTGATATTCAAGGTGTGCCATTTTTAGCAGTTGACAAGAACGTCTGAGGAACAGTGGGGGGTTGGAGGGGGAAATAAACATGGGGAAATAGTTTTACTTTGTGTAATGACGCATCCACTCCCAGTCTCTATTCAAACCTAAGTTAATTGTATCCAGTTTGAAAATTAATTCCAATTCAGCAGTCTCTCCTTGGAGTCTGTTTTTGAAGTTTTTTTGTTGAAGAATTGCAACTTTGAGGTCTGTAATCGAGTGACCAAAGAGATTGAAGTGTTCTCCGACTGGTTTATGAATGTTATAATTCTTGACATCTGATTTGTGTCCATTTATTCTTTTACATACAGACTGTCCAGTTTGACCAATGTATATGGCAGAGGGGCATTGCTGGCACATGATGGCATATATCACATTGGTAGATGTGCAGGTGAACGAGCCTTTGATAGTGTGGCTGATGTGATTAGGCCCTATAATGGTGTCCCCTGAATAGAAATGTGGACACAGTTAGCAACGGGCTTTGGATGGAGAAGAACACTAAAACTATCAGAATGCCTTTTTCTCAATCAATGGTGTGGGCTCACCAGGAGTGCAGGATATTGCAGAAGTGGAAGGTGCTCAGAGAACACCAAGGAGAAAGATCAAAGGCATGGGAAAG